ACAAAATATCCTGTTGTTAAATTGATAAAATCTCAAAAATAACTAAAGCAATGAATAAATGCATAATTTAAGTAAAAGTTATGAAGAATAAAAATGATTCTTATAACCAAAGTTATCAGTGAGAAATAAAAAGCAGGGAGTTGATGTCAAAAGTACATTTAGAATCCTCACTGAACGCTGAATGCTGAGATTTTTTTTTTCTGATTACAATTGCCATTTTCCTGTAGTTAGTATCCCCCACAAAATAAACAGGGTAGGTGGTCACGTGATTTTGGATACTTGAACTCTGGAGAAGGCACTCTAATGTTTATGTAGTAAATGCCTCAGTGAGTCTTGAGACCTGAGCTTTATATCAGAAGAAGAATTCTGATTGTGATTTTTCTTTTCTACAACCTCCCTGCTGAGTGATCTCTTTTGGGTGTCAAAAGAAAACAAACCAACTTGTTTTCCTCTGCTACTCTCACACCAACACTTCTGGAACACTTCTGACATAGATGGCTAGGTTTTTCCATACCAAGCAATTCTCTAAGTCTCTGCAGATACCAGCTGGGTGTCCTATGATTTAATCCCATTCTGACACTAACCAGAGTTAGCACAGACCTTAACTAAATTAGGTTAAGGGCTCAGTGCCCTAAGACTGCCCCCCCCCACTTCAGACACCAGTCGCAAGTTAGTCGGTCCCCAGAACACCCACGGCTTCTGACCAATTTGGCTACAAACTGAGGGTTCCCATGACCCCCTTCAGGTTCAGTCATTTGCTAGAACAGCTCACAGAACTCAGGAAAACTGTTTACTTACTAAATTACTTGTTTATTATAAAAAGATTTGACTTAGCAACAGCCAAATGTAAGAAATGCATAGGGCAGGGTATGGGGGAAGGAGCATAAAGCTTCCAGGCCCTTTCCAGGCAGCTTACTCTTCCAGCATCTCTACATGTTCACCAACCTGGAAGCTCTCCAAGCCCCTTCAGTTAGGGATTGTTATGGAGGCTTCATATGTAGGCACAACTGGGTAAATCGTTGGCCATTATGATTAATTCAACCTCTAGCCCTTCTCCTCTTCCCAGGGGTCTGAGTGTGGGGTGGGAAGTTCCAATCCTCTGACCACAGGTTTATTCCCCTGGCTCCCAGCCCATCCCCCTCTGGAGGCTGCCCAGGAGCCCCAATCACCAGTCATCATTAGCCTCTTATTAGCAAGAGACACTTTGCATTTCCGAGATTCCAAGAGTTTTAGGAGCTCTGTGCCAGGAAAAAGAGGGCAGAGATCAAATATATATATTTATTACTATATCATAGATATCAATTAATATTTCAGTATTGACTTTAGTATAGTCCTAAGAGCTTGGGCTTAATTCTTCCATTTAGGATGAAGGACTAAAGAACTGAAAAGATGGTAAGGGTGCAGATTTTGGACTTTCCCTCAGGTGTATGTGATCCAAAGACAAAGTCCATTGTATCCGATTAGGACACAAGCTCTAATTAAGGACCCCAGGATAATTTCCTGAGTTTTCTTAGCCTTGGTGTTTGCTTTAGTATTTTAAATTTATTAAAAATAATGTATCATAATTAGAATAAAATTAAATAAAAATTAGAATAATGACAATACAGTTTATCTACTGTCAGCCCATTCCCCAGAGATAATCATTGTTTGCTGTTTGGAGTATATATAGAGAGACAATTTGTGTGTGTGTGTGTGTGTGTGTGTGTGTAGATAGCTAGATGAATATATATTTAACTAAAATCATGCTAATCATATCCTATAACTTGGTTTAGTCCCACCTAATATATCTCACATTTCCCCATGTACGTAATACAGACATAGCTCATTGTTATTAATGGTTCCATAGAAATACATTTTATGTACATAACATTTATTTAATCACCACTTTTGAATGGTTTTTTCTTGGATTTTTTTTTTTCTTTTCCTTCTTCCTTCCTTCCTCCCTTCCTTCTTTTCTTCTTTCTTTATCTTTTTTGCTATAGTCTGAATTCTGGTTTTATTTTTTGAGGTAATGCTTTTGTAATCTCTATTTGGCCATTATCTGACACATTAAATACCATAAGTTCTCGGGGTGCCTGGGTGGCTCAGTCGTTAGGTGTCTGCCTTCAGCTCAGGTCATGGTCCCGGGGGGTCCTGGGATCGAGCCCCGCATCGGGCTCCCTGCTCTGCGGGAGGCCTGCTTCTCCCTCTCCCACTCCCCCTGCTTGTGTTCCCTCTCTCACTATGTCTCTCTCTGTCAAATAAATGAAATCTTAAGAAAAAAAAATACCATAAGTTCCGAAATAGTATTTAGTAAAGCATATAGTAATTTTAAGGAGCTAATAAAATTATAAGAATAATAAAAACATAAATACAAAAGAAATAAAATATAATAAAAGGAATGAGAATGTAATGATAAAGAAAAACAATTTATAAGTTCACATTTTTTTTTTTCTAGGTGTATGTGTAGGCCTCTTTAAGCAAATGGCACTATAAATCTTCAGGTCCCTATAAAATAATTTCTTTTGATGATTGGTTATCTTGGATTGCTACTAGTCAGATGATGATTTTTGTCTTACTATCTGTGATTCTATTTGCAGCCTCCCAGGTAGTGAGACCTCCAATAGACAGAGAACCTGAGTCATTGCATCAAAGAGGGGAAGAACCATTTTCCCGTTCAGACTTTGAACAGTTGTTAGAAGCCTTACCAGCCTTACAGGTAGGTTCATTGGTGTGTTGGTAAATGTTTAACCACCAGCTCTTCTCTCCGCCCTCAACACCCCACCCCAAAAAGAAAGAGAGAGAGAGAGACCCTGATGTGTAGTGTTTGGTGTAAATGTTCCCACCATGGCTGATTTCATGTTACCAACATGACATCAATTTGATTGCAGAATTTCTGAAACTCTGACAGATGGCTTTCACTAGCTGGTTTGAGTTGACTCCAGGACACCACTGGGTTGTTGTGAGATGGTTCTGTTCTTATCGATGTGATTTGATCAAGGCCAGCTTCCTGAACATATAGCCTGTGTAGTCCCCACACGGCCCATGCTTTTTTAATGCTCAGCAGTCACTGTTTCAAAATTCTTAATAATGTTTGAACAAGGGGGCCTCACAGTTTATCTTGCATGGTGCCCCACAAATTATGTAGCCTGTCCTTTCCAGAGGACAAGATTTGGGTTCCTATAGTGCCCAGCAGTAGAAAGGTGAGTAGAGGGGAAACACTGGGAGATTTGCAGTCTGTTTCTTAACAACATGATCATGATCCTTGAGAGACACATATGACATTCTTTCCTGGGATTTATGTTTCTTCCCAGCAGATTTGGGCAGTTTTATTTTGCTACATCAATCAGGATCAATGAAGTTATCTTGGCCTTGAAATTTTTTCTTTTTAATTGTGGTAAAATACAACATAAAATTTACCATCTTAATTATTTTTAAATGTACAATTCAGTACTGTTAAGTACATTTATATTGTTGCATGACCAATATCCAGAACTCTTTCTTTTTTTTTTTAAAAGATTTTATTTATTTGACAAAGAAAGACAGTGAGAGAGGGAACAGAAGCAGGGGGAGTGGGAGAGGGAGAAGCAGGCCTCCCACGGAGCAGGGAGCCCGATGCGGGGCTCGATCCCAGGACCCTGGGACCATGACCTGAGCCGAACGCAGACGCTTAATGACTGAGCCACCCAGGCGCCCCCCAGAACTCTTTCTATATTGCAAAACTGAACCGCTATATCTATTAAATAAGAACTCCCCATCCCCCTTCCCCCTAGTCCCTGGCGAACACCATTCTACTTTGTATCTCTATAAATTTGACTACTCAATTTACCTCATGTAAGTGGATTCATACAGTATTTGTCTTTTTGTGACTGGCATATTTCACTTACTATAATGTTCTCAAGGTTCATCCATGTCAGATTTTTCTTCCTTTTTAAGGCTGACTAATATTTCATTGTGTATATCTACCACATTTTGTCTATCCATTCATCCTTCAGTGGACGTGTGGGTTGCTTCCACCTTTTGGCTCTTGTGAAATAATGCTGCTCTGAACATGGGCATACAAATATCTCTCTGAGATCGTGCTTTCAATTCTCGTGTGTATGTACCTAGAAGTGGAACTGCTGGATCACGTGGTAATTCTCTATTTCATTTTTTGAGGAACCTTCTTACTGTTTTTCATAGCAGCTGCGTCATTTTGCATTTCTGCCAGTAATACATAAGAATTCCAGTTTCTCCACATCCTTGTCAACACTTGCTATCTTCTTGTTTTAATGGTAGCCATCCTAATGGGTGTGAGATGGTATCTCATAGTAGTTTTGATCTGTATTTCCTTAATGATTAGTGATGTTGAGCATCTTTCCATGTACTTGTTGGCCATTTATATTATCTTTCTTGGAGAAAGGTCTATTCAAGTCCTTTGCCAATTTTTTAATTGGGTTGTTTGTGGAAGTTTTATTTTTTATTCTTAAATTCTTTGATAGCTTCTTTACTACTTTCATGATTTCATATTTTTACACTTACCATTTTTAATCTTTAAATTTGGAAATAATTTCAATTTTACGGAAAAGTTGAAAGAATGCAAATAATAATAAGAACGCTGTATACCGTTTTACCAGATTCACCTACCTGTTGACTTTTACCCCATGTGCGTTAACCTCTGCGCGCTTTCTCTATCTTTCTCTATCATCCATTTATGTAAACACATAATTTTTTTCTGAACTTTTTGAGAGTAGCTTGCACACATCATGGCTTTTTACTGCTGAATACTTTACTGTGTATTTCCTAAGAATAAGGACATTTTTTTTTACAGAACTATAGTACAGTTATCGATGCCAGGAAAGTTTACTTAATACTTCCACCACTTTCAGGTGCCACATTTCAATTTTGTCTGTTGATCCAGTAATAGCCTTTATAGCTTTTTCCCCTCCAATACATAATTCATCTGGAATCATTATGGTATTGTCATGTCTCTTTAGTCTCCCTTAATCTTAAACATTTCTACAACTTTTCTTTATGACATTTTTGAAGAATACAGTCACCCCCACTATCATCTTTTGTAAAAAAAAAAAATAGAGGAGCGCCTGGGTGGCTCAGTTGGTTAAGCGACTGCCTTCGGCTCAGGTCATGATCCTGGAGTCCC